CCTATTCGACACGATTACATGGCATGTCCATATATATCCATCGATGGAAACGGACTTGAAAACAAAATAAGATCAGACCCGTTGACTCTACCAAGTAAGAAGTCTGATTTGTTATTGGAACCCATGTACATTATAAGAATCTCCCAATCCTGCGAATATTTCTACCTATATGTGTGAATGTAGTTTGGGATATCCCGTCCCCGTTGTCCGGTCCATCTATGGATGGTAGCCAATCACCACACCGGCCCACCTGGGCACTTCAATTGAGATATATTTCTGATTCGGATAGACGTAGACCAGGAATCCTTCGCCTGTAGCGCAATATGTACAAAATGCTTACCCAAGTGGAGCCTGTATGGGGGGACGTTGATATCTCAATGCTGGCATTAGATGCCATAGATGGGACGTTTACATGGACATTTCGGGGTTTATAAACCAGACTTGATGCCACAAAGACTTTAGCTTGATCTATGGCTTCTCTATATTATCTTGATTCTGAGTTAGGTCGCTCAAAAGATAGTTAATGAGCGATATACCAGAAAGAAGCGCAGTTTAAAACGTCGAGTGATATCATGTTTGTGATATATTTGGTAAGACATATAATGAAGCTTCTAAGGTTATGACCGGCATGCTTACCTAGTGCCTGTGAATGGGGGGTTAATTGCTAGGGAGACTTTCTGACTAGCTAGATTAAAAGCCAAAACATAATCCATGTCTAAACCTTGGAAACAAGTAAATATTTTACATAATGTACAGTATATACAGACCCAAGACGCCGCCATCCCATGACAATGGCTGTTGATGCACGCTGTACAAATTCAAAAAAAGTGACCCATGGTGTTAATCCATATATCTTTTGCCGTGGATTTTGAACGCCATGTCACACGCCGCGTTGTAGAACGAATGGAACTCATGGTCAAGATGCTCGGATTGACCATTCTCTGAAACCGAGTCAATTTTGGGTATCTCTATGTCCAGAGAGACCTCATTTGTCCGAGAAGCAAGGAGCGAACCGCTTTCATAATACCGGTAGTCAAGTGATCGCCCACAAAAGTTGTACTTTTGGACAATAGCACCTCGAATGTCGCTGAGTGGAGGGAACATGTATTCGACAGCGACGCTGTTCTCTGCCATTGATTCATCCAACTTTTTGGATTTAGCTTTTTGTGAGGCAGGCTGATAAACAAGTTCACAGGGAAGAGTGATGTTACAAAATATAGGGAGTGGAACAGAGCCTTGCGAAGCCCCACTGCTCACAATTGAGTCCTGGAGGGAGATTTTGAGGCTTTGCAGCATTGCTTGGATCTGCGGCGATGAAGACTCGGGGGAGGGGTTCCCAGAAGAGCTTTGGGGGATTTCTGAGTTGGAAGATGGTTTAGACAGGAGGTCTTGAGAAACAGTTCGTGTAAAACGCAAGTCCAGACCATTTTCCGGAAGCAGGTAGTCAACGCTGTTTGTGGCGAGAATAGCCTTTACGCTGTGAATATCCACGCCATCTAAATTTGAGTTCATGGCTACCTCGATTTCGAGTTCCGGCGGGGATCCTGCGTGGGAGGTTGGAGATAACCGAAGTCGATATAACCGTGCCTCGTTATTTGGGCGGATAGGCATGAGTGAGTTGATGAAACGCGACACCAGAGGTATGTCGTTTGTGAAAGCCCGTGGAAGGGACAGTCTCCCCAGCTGTGTCGGGGTGATGGCTGTATCATCGAAAGAGGGCTTTTGCATAAAAAGGCATTTCCCAACCACGGCTGTCACAGATTCATGCAAACCGGGGGCTAACCCGGTTTTGGGGGTAGTAACTCGGAGAAGCTTCAATAATTCATCTGAGAGTCGTGTTTGATGCTTATCGAAGAAAGGAGTTTCAAGGTTTTCTGCCTCTGCATTTTGACTGGAAGACATTGCCCACCGGAACCATGACTTTTGCTGCTCAAACCACGAAGCATGAGCCTCTGGTCTGTAGCTATAAGCACTGGCAAGTTCCGAAGCAGGCAAATAGGTTGAAAAAGGCGTCGATGGAGATGTGGTGTTAGATAAGGCCAAGTTCAAGGTCCTCCGCGCATTATCTGCTCCCAACTTATTCTCAGCAAGATAGAGAATCTTTTGTGGTGGTCTGTGTGCTTTGTGTTCCACAAATACCCCGTGTGTACTGTTGACCCATTCCAAAAAGTCCGGGGTAAAAACTTGAATGGTTCCATCTCCATGGGAATAAGGCTGGATTCCAACATCATCTTCGCAGATTCTGCCAGTGGCATCAATGATAATCTCATGAACAGACTCACAATCATTTCGCTTGCCAGTAAGTGATACCAGGCCCGCAGATTGTGTGACATTAATGCCACAGCCATGGAGACTAGCCAGCTCGTGGAAAGAGAAATGCTCAGCATGGAGAAGCAAGGATATGAACTGAGCGGGTATGCGGAATTCCAACTGGCCACGTTCGCCATCAGCCACCAGCTGCCAACAATGCCGAACGATCGTCTCAGCAGCCCGAGATTTTCCTCTGAAGCCCTTGGTCTTTCCCAATAATTTGTCCTGCGATTTGGAGTTGCTTGACCCCCATGTCCAGTCTTTCTCTTCTATAACAGCATTGCGGTTGTACTCTGAAATGAAGTCCGACAATTGCTTGTATGTGAAAGAGAAAGTCAATTTTGACCACAATGCCTTGAGATCGGCAGCAGGCAAGATCTGTCCTAGTTGATATGATCCACGGACCTCATTAATTCTTTCCTGGACCGACTTGTCACTGGGCGACGAGTTCTCGTCATTAAGTTCATCCAACATTGCGCTGATTGTGCCGCCAGATTCATTTTCGGAGCTTTTGTTGCGATTGCGATTTAACTTTCGGCGGCGACGTGAAGGCACAACGACGATTTGTCCCGGCTTTCCAAGCGTGTCCACATCCAACGTGAATCTGCCTGCTTCATGTTGTCCATTATATTTCGGTTCACGGTTTCGTTCGGAGTTGGGTCCATCGAAAGCTTCGCGTTCATGGTCGCGACTCCAGTTACTCTGGTATCGGGGAAGAACGGCAGGTAGGTATGACAATAGCGGTCTCCGATATGAAAGTGACTGGAAGCTCAGAAGCCCAAGCTTTTTCCCTGCAGGGCGTCGAAGCATGACAGAACAGTAGGCTTATTGCAAACGTGGAGAGGACAAATTATCTTACAATCACTTTTCTCCGGCGATAATCGGGGCGCTAGGCCGCGATAAGAAATCAATTTATGCCTCAGGCAACAATTTCATGACCTCAAAAAGCTTGAACACCTTCGGCAATGTAGAACAACCTCCCAAACGTCTCTTTCAATCGTATGAGAGAAGGTTTATTTAAAAGGAGAGATTCCAAGTCCTCTATTAACGCCTAGCGCAGATATTTATGTAGAATTCATTCTTTTGGTGCAACTTCCCAGCTGCGCAAGTTCTCTCTCACATCGAACTCGGAAAGCTCATTTTTTGTGTCTGGCGCCTTCCACGCCCGACCCTTGACCCCTTCATATAACTGCTGTTCAATGCTTCCACTCTTTTTCTGATGCCCAAGCGCAGCAAGAGAGTCTGGGGTCTTATTGTTACTGTGTGAACGATTGCTGGAAGTACTTTTGGGGCGCCGTTCAAAACTAGGTGACAGCTTTTTCCCGGAGCGGCTTTGGCGTGGGACCGTCTCTGCGCTCAATAGAGAATCTCGGTGATCGCCCCCTGATATGCCGGCGTCGGCATTTTGTGTGTTGCTCCAGCAAGAATTTCCAGCAAACAACTCTTCAACCAGCTTATCAGCAGGCAGATCACAGGCTCTAGAAGACCACGAAGCTGCTAGAGTGCGCCGATACATGTCTTGCATATCTGCAATCTCCCGGCTCTTGGTGTCAATAGATGGCAGGTGGCCAAATTCATCGGCGTTGATAGGCATTTCGGTGGATTGAACAACTCCGGCAATTCCTCCAAAGACGGTGGCAGATTTCAGCTGTGGTCTTTTATACTCAGCATTGATGGTGTGGATCAGAAATAAGTTTGGGGGCTCGCTTACGTCGTGAAGTTGCGGTCTCCTTCCAGCTGACGCATCGCGATCCCGATCTTCACAGTACTGTTCACTTTACTTTCATGCATCAGGTATCGCCGAATGATCCCTTCATCTTCCTCGGTTTTGTCCACGTATTCGGCGAGATTGAGTTTGATTTTGCCCAGCACGCTCTTTTCGGATATGGGTGATGTGGTGTACTCTTGTATGACGTCAAAGTTGAGTTCACACTCCTGAAGAATTGATGTCCTATCAATTGTAAGCCTTACTTGAAGGCATTTCTCATAACCCCAGTAAGCACGGTGGTCTGATAGAATTGCTTTCTCTGTGTGGCCTTGGTGTTCAGTGGAGCTTGACGATGGTAATCGCCATCGCACAAAAGCGACGCTGTTGCCCAAGGGGACATTATTGATATCTATGATCTTTGAAAGGTCAGAAACCTTGACGGCATTTCCATAGTCTGTGCATAATGCGTACCCTCAAAATGAGCTCGAACCTAGGCTGTAATAGAAGTTAGCTATAGATTTACTTCATTTGGGTTTATTAGGTAACGTACTCGCCTATTTTTGGGGACTATCGTGAGTTTGTTAGCTTACATCAATAAACAAGTATAGAGGAGCATACCAAATGCCTGCATGTTAACGGTCACGTCACTGGTTCAAGCTTGTCAGATATCGCAGGCACATCAACTGGTCCAAGCAGGACCGGCCTGGAGGAAATATCTCGATCTGGAGCTGAGAAAAACTCAACTAGCATGAATATGAAATGTCAAGTAGTGATAGAGTCGTCAATCTGGCTAAGATTCCTCCCCGCATATGCCGTGGACACTATGGGCGGTGAAGTGTGATGATGTGGCAGAATCAATAACCAGATCTCCGGTGACTTCTACGCCAGTACTCATCTCACCTCTTCTTCGATAACACAGGCGATCAATACTTGCTGCTTGCGGCATACTACCGATTTTTTACCTTGTCCTCAATCCATGACCATGGTGAAACCCGAGCCTACCCCTCCCGCTTCATCTCCTCCAGCCGAAGCCGCGGCTGTTCCTTTGGATTCAACAACCCGCGTCATCCCAATCCACCCTGATCTCGTCGAAATAAAAGTTCCAGATGGGCCACTGCCATCATACCGCTATCACCCAGTAACATGCCAACCAATCAAACCTCGAGACTACCAAACTGAGCTTAAGCAACTGGAAGAACAATACAAATCACGCGAGGCCGCACTTCATGCGCAGGAACAAATTGCCAAAGAAGTCAAAGAGAAGATTAAGACAGCTAAACGGAAACGAGAGGAGGTTCAAAAATCCATGGACAAGAAGGTCAAGGAACGCGACACCGAGATGAAGGTCGTGTCCAAGTTTCAAGAGACCAAGGCATCGGACATTCCATCTTGAGGGAGGCGATATCAACTTTTCTTCCACACCATTCAGACCACAAAGGAAAACCAAAGCTTTTTTCATACTCTTATCATCTTTCCTAGTGGACAGACTACCATTCACAAAAGAGACTCGGTTCGTTCTCAGCCGCGCTCGGAAGAACTCTTCATCCATGATTCCAATGAAGGCAACTTCCTCGTGACTTACCATGGATCACATCATCATCTCCAACATGTCCGAGAAAAAGAACATGCTTTGGGGGTTAAAATGTGAGGAGGCAGGCAAGCTAAGGAACCTTGCGCCTATGTCATGCCTACCCATGTGAGAGTTCGCTTGAACACTATGACAATGGACTCTCCAATCCAGCTGAAACATCTTGAAGCGAACATCACTTGTCTCTTATGGGAATCCTAGGACTGGATTAACAATGATAACGCCTCACGCGAACAACATCAAACTTATGGAAATCGACGAGCTTTTATTACAGCTAGAGTATAGGGACCTGTGAAATCGGGCCAAAAATGACAGTCTCTAGCGCCAGAAATGGCCGCCTTTCCACCCGTAACTTTGGACTGGATTTCGTACCTTGAATCCTATAGGCTAATTAACTGTTTATGGGATGAGCTATAGTAGAAAAGCCCTGTAAAGAGAGAAGATCCGAGTAATAGAAATTCCGTGGTTAGTCTTCAGTACAGAGCAAGCTACCTTTATACCGTAGGCTCCTACTCTTCACTCTGAACCTATCTACTGTTGATGGAATGATCAAATGATCAATGGAACACCGTGACACTCGAACGGACTCAAGCCTTCAGGAGAAGTTTAATTGTGATAAAAAAATATCCCCACGGCTTTCTCCCCTGGGAACTTGGGGAAAACCTCTAGCTATATGCCCAAGACCCACAAATTCTAGCTACCATACAAAAATAGAGCGAAGAACACAGCTATCCTTTTGCCTCGCTTGCGTTTCCAAGAAGACTATTGCCCAGGTCGTAGGTCACTAACCAATCACCGGCGGGCTCAGGCTCAGGCAATTTAAGCTCCGGGTTGCGCCTGTTCATTCCCCTGGAAAACATCACCCTGGCAAAGGCAGGGTCAAACACGAATGTCGTTTCGCCGGTCACAAAGCTTTTCACTTCCGCCGTAGCTGAAATCTCGTCTATGGCGATGTACTCGTCCTCCTTCGGCACACTTGCCTTCTCGATATTTTCCTTCACGTGTTTTGCAGTCTCAATATCGAGCCGGGTGTCGATGAAGTATAACTGGTCTAGGCCAGCTACTGCCACATATGGAGTATCCGGCGCCACAACTTGGAGGCCAAATCCTGTTTTGGTAACCTTTGGTACGTAGCTGCCCTGGTATTCCTCTTGGAAGGTTGGCGGACCCTCGCAGGTTGGCGAGCCCTCGCATAGTCGGAGCGGGTCCAGAAGTATGGTGATTAATAGTAGAAAGAGCATTGTAGTATATGGATAATTTGGCTATGTATGGGACAAGTCGACTATGTAGTCTGCTTCATAACACAGCACATGCACTAAAACCGGTGTACGAAGTACATTTAGTGAGGGGAACCCTGTCAGTTGAACCAATGACGAGACGACAGCACATGTGTAAGCTAATAAGAGCCACAGATAATAGGGCAAGATAGTACTTTAACTTCCATCAGCTCAATATAATTACGTTTATACAGTGCTGAGACCAATCCAGCTTAGCTCCCACGTAGATCTCCAATGTGATGAACTCCGGTCTCCTACAAGATAAGATGATAACTTCCCCGTCATGCTAGGAGGCATGAGACGTAGTCTCTGAGACAGAACTTCTCAAAGCGGAGTTCTCTGTCGGCAGGATACTGTTCAGACCTGAGGTGTCCGGCTTGACCGAAGTCTCAGCGTTGGCAGAAGTCGTGGCACTATGGGTATCCTTCTTCGCCGCGCTAGTTATGTCCACAGAAGTTTTCTCCTTGTCATTGCTGCTTGACTTGGCATTTGATACTGCTGCTGTAGTGTGAGTTGTAGTCTTAGTATTTTACTGTGCAGCAGTGTGGAAAATGTTCTCTGCTGCTTGCACAAGACAAGTGGTGGCATCTGATGTGCTCTCGCGATTTGCATGGGGGTTGCGCAACGACCTTACTGTTAGCTTTTACCTATGTGATCGCATCGGCTCCCACAGATGAAGATACCTAGGCAGTGGGACCAATCAGTGCGATGCTGGAGAGCAAAAGGGTCGAGATAAGAGGCGGTAGAGAAATGCATATTAGGCCGTTGCTCTGTACAGGAGTAACTTGGCAGTGGGAATCAGTCGTTCGATGCGGGATGCGCCGTTCGTTCACTAGTGCATTACTACGTAGTTTGTGTATCATTGTGGGAGATTGTGTCAATTGGCCTATTCTGTAATGGAATAGATCTAACACATTATGCAAACTTCTGCGTGGAGCGCCGCCCTACGGTCCCACGCTCCACAACTTGCCTCATACACTATTCGTAGGGCGCAAACTTCACACTATTGCTAGAAAGGGGTATCATCTCGTTAAACTATTCGCACCAGTTGAGCCTAGTTTTCCACCAAGTGATATTCATGATCTTATGAACACAGGTAGAGGAGCAGCCATCGACGAAGGGATACATCAGGAGTAAAGTGCCTATTAGCGAGGGAGATGACCATCCTTTATTGAATATCAATCCCTAGTAGCAAATTAACAGTGGTCGTACGTATTAGTATACCAATAAATACGGCTTGGCGTTAGGAGTGAATCATTGAGCTAGTTTATTATTGAGCTAACGACAAGCCATACTTACCGGTGAGATACTAACGAAGAGACACAAATTTTATATTTATTAATGTAATGTGTTTAGTGGTGATTTGTAAGAAGTTGACTTTTTTGGCGCTATAAGAGCCAGCTATATAATCCAAACATATAGAAAGCTACAGTTTATTCCTACAACGTACATATTGTGCAATATCCTCTTGAAAATGTATAGTTATATGTCTCCTTCCTCATCTTTGTTTTTTAATTGGCAGCGCGAGTCAGGTGTGATTAACAAAATCAGAGGTTACACGCTAAGATGATAATATCTTCATGAAACTAAGAACGTCAACATGTTGGTAATACTACTAGAGACATTTTATTTTCTCTCCCTGGTGCTGCCATTACAATACTTCAATACCATTTTTTTTGTAGGGTGAATTGTTTCCAAGACTGCGAACTAGTATAGAAATCGTTCGGAGATTTTCAACATGGCCAAACGCTTTGCTCAGAGGTTTGGGTACAACTCGGCAATCCAGGATGCCTAAAAAGAACAAAGGAAAGTTTATCAGGGCGTTTAAAAAATGAGTCATGATTTATGAGTCATTTAATTCATGATCAAGCTGTCTAATGGATGCCTACAGGGGACTCGGAGCTCGCTGCACCACTCATTCATGAATGAGCCCCTTGGATATGTTCTAAATGTAAGTCACAGGGAAGGAATCCTTTGGCATACTTAAAAGCAATAGCAATGGTTTATTCTGTTATCGCCTAGGATTTTGTCCAACAAATGATATATCTTTTAAAAATTAGGGCATTGTCTGGCTTCGTTTCAAACCGAACATCATCGGCACATATATGAGTCATCACCGATGCAGTCTGCAGAATGCATTGGATTTCAATATACTGCTTGGTTCATAGTGGGGTGATTTCACTATTCCAACTTAATGGCAGCCTGACAATCATGAAACCACGCATGATATGGGCCCGACAGAGTTGAGTTTCAGTACCCGCCTGACTGTGGATGTGGTTAAGATCTACCTCAGATTCCAGCTCCCGACTCTTGCCAACTCATATCTTTCTTCCGATCGGTTTTCGGTAAAGCAAGCGAAGCGAACTACGGAGTAAGTGAAGCAAGAGACCATCCTCCCTAGTGACTACTTTGTAGGGCTTTGCAGACATGTGGGGCCGGAGATATCCGCCACAACGTGGCGAGTAATGTGCACCGCCTCATATCTATTTTAGGAAAAAAGCAACCAACTCGGTCGCATATTTTTCCATGCGTTATATGCCCACCCTTCTATAGATACACAATGACAATGACGAAAACCTCCGACTCAAAGCGAAAGCCCCCCCCCCCCCCCGTATACCCACCCCAGACCATGTGACCGAACTCATATGCAGCAGGGATTCCATTTTAGGGAAGAGGCAGAAGGCAAAGGGCGCCTGCAGAGGAAGCAGAGTAAGATGAGATCATTGAAAACTTGAATCATGTGGATAAGACAATAGGAAACGGTATTTCAGTACAAGGGCTAGTGGCGCCGACCCAAAGTCTGGCAATGGAGGCTCAGCCCAATGGCAAATCGTAACAGGGATCTCAGCTTTCTGTGCATCGGCCGGACTCGGTTGATCTCAGCGAATCCCAGCCCTGAAGTGACTCAAGACGGGTCTGCCCCACGCTTGCTCGACCCTCCATCAGCTGAGGTCTACGACTCTGTATCGCCTTAGCGGCACTCGATAGGTCCGAAAAAAACCTTGATATGGTTGATATGGTTGTTCTGGTTGTTATGGACATGTTTCGTGTAATATTATTAATACTGTAAACCTACAATATAGGGAAATATTATTTTCTCTTTCTGTGTTAATATCTAGTTGGATATTGAAGCATAGTATTGAAACAAAACACATTGAAAAAGAGATCGAAACTAAGTCTTGGCTTGCAGGCTGCAGCCAAATTTAAATAGAGTCTTCACCTAAAAGCATGGGGACTCTAGTGTTGAGGATCCGGTATTTCCTTTAACGATGTGTAGATCTTGGCGCACACTGAAATATGCACATCGCCCAGCTGAGAAATGTATTTAAGTCCCCGCTAATTGTAGATGGTAATTTGATCGCTCTAGATGATCTATGGAGACTCGGAGGTTTTCTAATTCTTTCTGTTTAAGCCGTCTCATGAATCATTGGGGCTTAGCTGTTGCAGTTTAGGGCATCATGCAGCTGTTCTGGCCAAATGGACGTGCAACGGGTGTGTGAGACTGGCACTGTGCGAGTGAACCCGTCAGATTTGATGAAACGTTTGGATCTCGTGCATTTTTAACCGTTTCAAGTATTCAAGTATTCAAGGGTTCGAGTATTATCGCCACTGGAGTCTTCAGGTTGCAGATCGGGGAGTCCGAAATGGGCCATAGACTGATGTACATTTGACTCCATCGGCCTGCATACCAAATAATACCGTAGAAAAATATGAATTCCTGTGTTTTCTATGTTTTCTTCTCATATCTCAAGAAAAATAGAAATAAATCCCCAAATTAACATATTATTGTGGCCATTAAATCTCCACTTATTGATAGTTCCCCCCTTCTCATTATTCTTCTTGACATCCCTCTCTTTTCTTTCTATAACTCTTGACTTTCATGTCATCTCCTTTCCTTTATATTCTAATTTCTGTTTTTGCGCATTCGCCCGCACTTTAATATACATCTCAACACAATTCCAAAATCCAACAACATTTTGTGTGGGCGAATGTCGCCTTTATGATTTATGTTCTATATTCTACGTTCTTTTATATCATCTATACCAACGCCGGACGTATCACCTTTCGCACAGTGTCATAATGCCAACAGTCTTACTCCCATCTTCCGCCGCTGCTTTTGCGCCGCGATCATCCCCGAATGTCGTGTTGAACACCAAGGTTGAGCCTTGGTTGACGGCCACCCTGAAGCGAGTAAACCGGGTCAAGCGTCCTTTGAACAATGTCACTCAGCATACCCGGTGTCTGACAGAAACGCTCTCATCGAAAAATGCCATCTGGACCCTGTGTTCCATGATGCTCACCAAGGCTCCCCAGACAGAGTTAGAGAAGAATGAGAACCAACTCTGGGAGGCCCTGCACAACCACCAAATTATCCACATGGAGGCCTACGTTGTACACGTCGACATGGTCTCTCGTAACGAGGTGGCCTTCAAGTTGACCCCGGAAACCATCGAATCACTAGTTGATTTCCACAAGGAGGTCTACTCGGTGGATGCCGCCGCCAATACATACAACTGGTCGGGAAAGCATGGTGAGCTGAAGAGATTACAGGAGGAGTTTGTCCAAGCCGCCAACAAGTTTGTCTACCGCGCCAATGCCCAAGCGCTCGAGGGGCTAGAAGAAGATGGCGCTGGAGAGCTACTAAGCGGTCGGAGCGAAGAAGCAAAGGCAGCCATCGGCAAGCTCTTTGTCCCACTAGTTGCCCCTTCACCACCAGTGGTGGATGTCATGCGCCCAATGTCTATCTTGCCTAGTTCGACAGGCCCAGAAAACTGGTGGCAGAACCCGATGCCCCAGCCAGCGCCACTCGAGTCGTGGAAAGTACTGTCGCCCAGCCCCAACCCGACCACCACGGGCGATTCTAATCCGAATCTTTGGGCTAGTCTCAGTTTCAGTGATGCCCAACTTGCTTCACCGACCCCGTCTTACAGCCAACCCTTCACCCCCTCGCCGTTCCAAACCTACGACTGCCTGCCGACCACCTGCATGCCGGCCACATCGGCCGCTATCAGTCCGCTCCCGTTGCCGACCATGTTCCCAAGCATGCTTGTACAACCCTGCAGCACGGCTGTCAACATGGGTATGGGGGGCTTTAGCTGGGGCGACTTTACTCCACTGCCGTATGGCACGATTGCCTAACTCAGCTCTCCCGAGTAGACTCGGTGATGTCGGCCATTCCCAAGTCCAGGCTCCCCCAGTTCGTGCAAGCTGGGTTTGAGAAACGTGGATCGTTTCTTAAAACTAGACGCGCGCGCAATTTTTCGGTTTCTTCACGACTCCTCAACTCCTCTCCTGTCCTCTTACCGGGAACCCGATTCCAAGCAACGACAATTCGCATTCTTGACGGCGTTCTCTTCGATTTGACACTGTGCATCTGTGATACTCCCTCCTGCCTTTTTGCATGATAACCAGAATTATCTTTTTTTTTCCTGCGCTTGTTTTGATAGTTTTGATGTTTGATTCCAGCGTCAGCGATTTATTTCTGTTCTTTTTTTTTCTTACTTTACTTTTCCTTTTTTTTCCTTTGCATCAAGAAGCGGCGGGTCGGCTCTCTGTTATGTTTCGTTTCTTTTGTCCCGCATATATGTCATGAAGACTGGTCTGCCTCACGGCATGTGGAGGATATGAATTTGGACGTGGAATGTCCAACGTTATGTTTTCGATTCTTCTGTCGCAGCTTGCTGGAAAGGGAAGAAAGCAAGCTTGGGTTACTCGGCTGGACTGGGTTCAGCGTGTGCTTTTGCTTTCTTTTCTTACAGCGTCTGTCCTTCTGGTATTGGGTACCGGACCGGCTAGTTCTCTTTTCGGAGAATTAGAGGATAGGTTTATGCGATGGCGTCACCTTCTTCCTTGCATCTGTGATGCGCGGTTGGAGCACGCACTTTTGGTCATTTTTGGTTCGAGGATGTGAATATCAGCAACACGAGTGTGAGAAAGAATTGCCTTCAACCCTCGTCAGACTCAAGTATATCCGCCTGTGGCAGATACCGAGCGCAAAGGGCGATGCACTGGATCTCCCCCTTCGGTCTGTGACCTGGGGATCTCCACATCCCGCCCTAAGCGACGAGTGGTCTGAGTGGCAGTTATTCCGCCCTCTGCGCTACGAATTCACCTCCAATGGCCGTATTTGGCATTGATAGATTCATCTCCTATCGTCCAGGCTGGGTTTTTAGAAATTCCTGGGCAAGCTTGGTCTGTCGGTGGGCTCCTCCACTGGATGGAAGAGTCCTTCATTCTTTGTCCCGACGACAAGAATCAGATGCTCGATCTAATAGATACTATCCTTTTAAGATCTATCTGATTGGGGGGCTGGTCCCTTGCGCTGGCTGCTTCTTTTCTCTTGGTTTTATGTTGATCCGTCAGCAGTTCTGCTCAAATGTTGTATGTATCTCTTTAGCTTATGTAGTTTTGAAAGGTGCATACACAAATTTGTTCCTCTCCGTCTGTACCTATAACTGGATGTTCGGCGTACAGTATGGCCAGCATAAAAAAAGAGACTCATAGTTGACGAAAATCTAAATATAAATCCATCAAGATCCAAGGCAACCCCATACTCTTGAAATATCGGGTATATTACCCCAGTCCTTTTGTATGACGTCAACCGCCAAGACAGCCAGGTAACATATTCCAAGTTGATTCTCTACTTTTTGCTCACAGCCACTCCCCTGACACCTCTTGCGCCTGCATTCTAGATTTGACTTCTTCCATGTGTTATACGATCTCTTCGCATTGTAATTTTATTGCATTTGTCTCTTATCTGGGATTTACCACGTGCTTCATCACTTTATAACCTAAAACCTATCTACTGTCAGTTTTGCCAGAGCCACCTTTTGAGTGTTGTTAGACCTTTCAGTCTTCATGAATTCTGGAGATCCGGGTGTCCAATTGTCCGCCACCGCTTATCCCACCTCCATGTCCTAGTTCCTAATTCCGGCAACACCACGAGCTGACAGAACCCCCACTACTCGAAACAACGTCACTGTACTGCCGACACAATTTGGAATTTACAACATCGCAGAAGACTAAGACTTCAAAATATAGAAAGCCTCTTCCTGCACCTATGGCTACCTTACACGAGGCCCTCCAATGCCTCAAACCAACGTTATGGGACGAAGTTCCCAGGGATCCCGACGAGCTCCGTGACTACGTGCGCGAGATCTTCAAAAATAGCCGCCTGTTAGCGGAATCACTTCCAGACCCCCCAATATCCGACAACGATAACTACCCCGGGTTAGATGACACGAAAAATTCCTCCGCCCGACGAATTGTCCCATCATCCACCCGGGTGGGAGAGACCGATCCGGAGATTGTAGACCTGCAAAAGGAATGGGGAAAGCCACTCAAGATGGGCGGACCAAGGGACAACCCATTAGACGTGACAGTGTGGAAACTTTCCGCAAGTGACGGTGGGGGCTCATGGTTCGGGCGACGGAGTGTGCATGAGGGCCTCCCATTCTCGCGGTGGCGGAAGAAGCTCTCAACTGAGTACGATGAAACACTCAAAGTAAACCGCAAGAAGATCGAGAAGGGACAGACGCCTGACAATTGCATTCGCGGGATCGGCGCCGAAGAAAGGATCGAGAACATTGAGGTCAAGGACCATGATGGTTCGGTTCTGGGAAATTTAATGGTCTATCATGTCTCGGCGCAGTTTCCCAAACCTACTGCTCCGCGTGATTTTGTGGCGTTGATCATCAATTCCGATTTTGGATTGCAAGCTGGCGGAACCAAACAGCCTGGTCGCAGCTGGATCATGATCTCTAAGCCGTGTGAACACCCCGATATCCAGCATAAGCAGGGGTATACTCGCGGACAGTATGAGTCTGTCGAGCTCATTCGGGAGATTCCTAAGAAGAACGACAGTGGGAGCAGCTCTCCTGACCAGGGGAGTAAGAAGGATAGTGATTCTTCATCCTCCAATCTGCAACAGCCTGAGGGGCTACCTGAGCAGGATGGAGCTGGGAATGAGAAAGACGAAGAAACGAACCCTGTTGAATGGATCATGGTCACTAGGAGTGACCCGGGCGGCAACATCCCGCGGTGGATGGTGGACAAGGGAACGCCACGAAGCGTGGGAACGGACGCTGCTAAATTCATTAATTGGGCTCTTCAAGATGACAAGCCGCCCAAGCAAGAAGAAAGCACAGGTACGGAAGCTGCAAATACTTCAGCAGGCGCCAAGGCTAAATCCGGGGACGGGGAGTCTGCGAACGAATACGACTCCGACCAGGCAGACGACTCGGATTCGGATTCGAATTACGAGTCACTCGACAGCGACAGCGAACATTCGCATCATGGTCTGATTGCCAGTGTTACCGCCTTACTCAGTACTGGACTGGAACGGTTCGCACCACAAGTTCTAGGCTATGGCGCCCCCACTAAAGTATCGGGTGGTATCCCAGCCGGGGACGAGGTTTCCTACATTGATGCAGATGGCATTGCACACCTAAGCCCAAGTAGCGTCCAACAAAATAAAACAACGTTGGACGCCGAATCTTCAAAATCCCGTGAACATGACCATGTCTCACTCTCCTCGGCCAATTCCGAACAAGAAGCAACTGCCATTGACGAGGTAGCACACAATAACATGTCACCGGAGGAACTGACCGAAATGACAAAGAATGGCAAGCTCACTTCCCGGGAGAAAGAGCTCGCAAAGCTGGCCATTCGCAAACGCGAGGTTGAAGACAAGCTAGACGAAATCCGCGCCGAACTCGACAAGTTTCAGATCTCACCACAACCGCCTAGTGTCTCAGGGACCCCAGTGAAAGGCATCAGCGAGGTAGACAGCGATACTAATGGGATGCGCAAGCGCGCAGCGACGAATAGGTCTTCCAGGCCCGCCAGCACTCGCACACAGCAGAGCCAGGGCCAACCGCAGGACGAGATCAGTAATGAAGACCAGCCATCTTCTGCGCGGACGGAAACCCCTGACCCGCCATCGCGTCTCCCTAAAGCAGCCGCTCAGTTTATCCATGGGGAATCTAAGCTGCTTAAACAGCTGCGCAAGATCGAGGCTAGCCAGCTAAAAATTACGTCGAAGATTCAAGCGAAGCAGAGAAAGGATGATGAGCGTTCGCAGAAGTCCAAGTCCAAAAACAAGTCTGAGGTTGATAACTTGAAGCAAGAGGTACTTGATCTCAAGAAGGAGGTCAAGCAGCTTCGCTCTGAGCGCAAGAAATGGGTCGACCTTGCTTCTTCGTTGCAGGCGGAGAATACAAGGTTGGCGGCGAAGTCAGAGGTTGCTTAACTGGTGGATAGACCGTAACTCTATAACGTGTACATACTGCATGACTTATTTTCTAGCCTCCCCGATTTGGTTATTTTTAGCTTTGATCGGTGTCTGATCTATCCAATGGTTCTATAGCTACATACTTTGTGCTGTATCTGTTACTACATCTATCTACGGGATGGATTTCGATAGTTAATATCTTCATGTTTCAAACATTATGACTAGATTGCAATACTGCCGACCATGATCAATCCAGTGAGGTACGGCTCTAAGGCGGCTTCTCCCAGGTGAGGTTGAGGAACCAAATTCTCGACAAGCAATACCCGACCATCCGTTACGATGCTAGTTCCAAGGTTGGGTATATGGGAACTTGCTGTTGAGGGCGTCATTTCACGTGGTAGGCATTTGTATCGCAAAATTGTCCCCCCTCACTGACAAGGGTTGAAGGATTCTTGGAGTCCCGGAAGCCCAAAGACGGGCAATCCCTAGCCCAGAGGAATCTATCGGCCTTGTTTCATAGAGCGTTTCGTATGTTGAGCTGGACTTGTTCTTCCATACTGAGGTCATCGAAGGGAAATCTGAGAAAACGGATCTTTGGCGATTTCGAGATCCGTACACAGAGGGATTTATCTCATGTCAGCAAGGTTGCTGAGCTGGGCTAGGGGGTAGTCGGAGGGTCGGCGCATCTGCCTTCCTGTATGGAAAGCCAAGGACGCGACAAGGGGTATCAAGAAAACAAGAATAAACTACAGTAAGCAGTTTACTCTTGAGTCTAGATCATTGGAGGGCACATGTTAGTTAACCCATCTTGTATTATGTGAGCAACTCTGCAAGACACCACATACCTCTGGCGGATTACCAGCACCTCTGACCATTTTCTCCAACATCATTGCGCGCACCTTCTCTTTTGGTTCGCCCATGCCGACAGCCATGTAGGACAGCAGGGGAGGGTGACCGACGTAGGATGAGTAGCTGTCACGGAGGATGTTGGATGTCCATTCGTATTTGGTCGTATCGGCGTGTCCGGTACCGATGTAACGAGCCTGGAGAGCCTCGAGGTTCTGGATGGTACGGAGCTTGTCGGCCATGATGGATAGTAGAGACGTTGGTGTTGGATTGAGAAGGATAGCGGGAAGCTCGAAAGAAGAAAGAGAATATTTACGCCTCAGGCATGAATTATATAACCTCACGTGACCGTATTGCTATCTTGAGATTCTTTGATCCTGTCTTTGCCTTTAATCAAGGATTTGGTTGTTTAAGAAATTGTCGTTCGGGGTGTGATAATATCCAATGTCCGTTGATACATCTGGTTTCTCATTATCGTCCCGGATAGCATCGCTGGTTCATGCACATTTCGATGCTCTGCCAACGCGCAGCAAACCAACCATATTTCCAGATGGATCGAGGGAATGGATTCCAATGACCGGTATTGTGGTCGTCAAAGGTATGTTTTTAATTTAATGTTTATAAGCGAGTTATCATCCTCGTCCATGTATATACAGTGAAGGGGATGGGTCCATTCTTTGCTTTTAACTTCAGTCTCATATATTTCTTGTGATTCAAATAGTAACATTTTTTTTGGTCTCTTCGTTTATAGGAGAAAACACACCTTTGGAAAGTCTAACTTGCATATCTGTCACGTAAGTGTTGAATTTCCCACTTGCAAGTTTGACCAAGTCCAATGCAAGCGACCTACATTCAAAAAAGGCTGATATTGATGTAGGAGTGGCGCTAAATGCTTGTCGGCATCTCATATCCCACGGTGCAGGGGTCTTGTGCTGCATGACTGTCATGCCGAGATATTGGCCATCCGAGCATTTAATTATTGGCTTTTGACAGAATGCAACAGTGTTCTATCCCGGGAAAAGCAATTACCGAATGGCCATGATACTTCTACCCCCGATAACGAAAAAGTCCTGGATTCTCCATTCATACAAAGGAGAAGAATTGAAGAGGATGAAGATGGTTTTGGAACATCGCCCACAGAGTGGCCGCCTTTTGAGATTCGGCCTGATATCAAGGTTTACATGTATTGCACATGTGCACCTTGCGGAGATGCAAGCATGGAGCTCTGTATGGCAGCCCAAGAAGATGCGACACCCTGGGAAGTCTTACAGAAAGAAGTTTCTTTGCCAAAACCCCAAGACGCAGAAGTCCCAGGTACGGAGACCCTTCTAGATGGCCGGGCCCACTTCTCTCTTCTCGGAGTCGTGCGTCGAAAGCCAGCGCGCATGGATGCCGAGTCCACGCGCAGCAAGTCCTGCTCAGACAAGCTTGCATTGCGGCAGGTCTCCTCCTTGCTGTCCTGTGAGACCAGTCGCCTCGTTGCTCCCACCGAAAATGCCTATCTGGCAGGTCTGATTCTTCCCGAGGACGAAATCAGCCAAGTTGGCTGTGACCGCTCCTTTAGCGAGGACGGTCGAATGCAAGCTTTGGGTGGGCGATATTGGCCTATGGAGACAAAGTTTAAAGAAAGAACGCCAGGGTATCGATTCCGGCCATTCCAGGTTCTTTCGGTGCCGAGTGAAGAAGTGGCAGCGCTTTGGCCCTTTGCGAAACCGAAATCCGTGCCGTGTCCTGCAATTCCATTGGAGCAGGAAGGAGACCCTTTGATGTCTGGTGCAAAAGTTAGAAAGACCAGGCCAGGGAATGTGAGCGCCATTTGGATATTGGCTCCCTCGTATAAGCGCCCATCGGCAATGACTATGGATACCGGCAGCAAGTCAGTGCCAACTCTTTGCTGTTCCAAAACAGGCTTATATGAGACTATCATCAATGGAGTGAAGCAAGGAAACCGGGCATCCTCACCGGGTGCCCGTGGGGCCTCATCTCTATCCCGAGCTAAGCTTTGGGCTCTTCTTCGCGAAATTTCGCCTGCCTCGATTCCACATACCTATCAACCCGACGTGTCCCCAACCGGATCGCTGTCGGGTACTCCAAATGCCGAAAACCCACATGTCAATACAGTTCAGCACCATATACCAGATATAACCACCTACCAGGATTTCAAAAATCCTAGCAGCTTGAAAGACCCGTTGCAAATCCGTATGCAGGCCATCAGGGATGCTAAACTGGTTCTCAAGGGATGGATAGCTAATTCAGGAGATGAATATTGGGGCTTGGATGTTTTGGTTGACCCCAAAAAGCGAAAGCGCTGATTTTGCCCGGAGGATGAAAGATTTCTGAAGCTCACTCTGGGTCATGTATACTAACCTCATCGTATCCCCCTTTCAAGATTTCCATTGGAATATAAGATACTGCGTAGCTGAACAAAAACAACAGCCATGTGCTAGTTTAAGAAATATCTTGCTATCAATAACAAAGGGACTGGTTCGCTATTCGTAATTGGCATCAGCCCTTTATCGCCGTCAAACAAGAAGACCACGGCCTAGTCAACCAGGCACCGAGGCAGGCTTCCATGAGTCCAGCAGAATGTCAACAATGGGATGTCTCGGTTTTTCTCAGGTCTTGATTGTTAGGTCTTCTTGCTCTTCTCCCAACTCTCTTTTCTCTCCCATGCCTTCTTTCCTCTCTCATACCTTCTAGTCTCCAGCCTCATCAATCTACGACTCCACACCTCAGATCTCAAATCTCATGAGAAACAATCGATGAAATATTCCGCTTCGTCGACATAGCTTTGATTACAGCCGCGGTCTTTATCTTCAATATGGCTCCGAAACTTCCAGTCGGGTGCGCAAAATGTGGGACAGAAACTAAGACAATGTGTTGCGGCTGTTCGCATGCACCCGAATACTAAAGCGGCGATCCCCGAGTTGTGTTTTACTGCAGCCGCGAGTGTCAGATACTGGACTGGCCAAATCACCAAGACTATTGTAAGAACATGCAGCAACGAAAGATACTGCTCCGAGCTGCCCAGATACTGAAGGCAGCCATGTTGGCATACAGAGAGACTGTATACGACGTGGATCTAACTAAAATCGAATATCGCGACGGGGTCCTCTATCTCCATCAAAATCAAAGATCGGTTTCGTCCCAATCCAAACGTGGTCCTTTCCCTTACCACATCACTGACAACCTCGAGCACAAGGAAGCAGCTCTCGTTAAAAGTCAATCTACAGCAGCCATAGCGCTCTTAGGTCCCTTAACCAGAAAACTACTTAGAGGTAAGAAGCCTTTCACCCCCTACGTTACCGAAGCGAGCTATGGCTAAAGAGAAAGCAGGTGTTCCCTTGAAAATTGAGACTATGGTCATCAATATCGGAAGACCACGGGTTCCAACCAGGCTTGTTCCCGGTCCTGACGTACACGGCGGTCCACACGCGGTATTGAAGATAGGGCGAATCGAGAACAACGAAACATGGATTATCAATACGACAGGTTGTCAATATGGATTCCGAGACGTGCTTGTTCCATTTGTCAAGTACTTTCATGACAACGAATGCCGGATTTTGAGTGGACCTCGGATTTACGACACATGCGAGACAGATGACTTGGACTACTTGTCAACTCTTCATGTCTTTAACAAAACAAAAGTGCAACGACAGGATATGCGACTAGAACGACTAACCCGTCACCATTTCGCTGTCTTCATTTATATGAGTGTGCATGATGACTTCCTTGTGGGCTCTGGCGCCGATTACAAGAGAAAGTTCGATCGCTTCGTCAATGGGCTCAAAACTCACATGGTTGATTCTATAAGGAAGGCAGGTGGCGATTTCGAAGATTCTGAAGATGATTGAGGACGGAGGAGTGCATAGCTGGGTTGTATCTGTTCAGTTGTTTAATTGATTTCAAACTTGTGATTCACTCTTGACAACTATATAAAGTTTTGCCCTTGTAAGCTCTGCTTGAATACTGTTGTGGAATTAACAGCGAGAAATAACCTGGAAACCGACATTAATTGTAACGAGCAACTTATTCTATCCAATATAGTTTTCTATGTAATACTCAGAATCATCTGCTCTCTTCGCAGTGAACTATTCAAGCACTACAATTCCAGACCTTCCCTAGAGTCTCATATCTGATTCAAAACTCTTAGTTTCTTGTTTGGGACGCAATAAATGGCAGAAGCCAAAGAATATAATATTTCGGTGTACAACCTTACTATCAAACCAGGGCCTTGGAAGCACGAATTCAGTGATCTGCAAGATATCAAAGGATATCGAGTTATCAATTGGTATGTCGGTCTCGCTTTAGCTTCCAATGTTACTTCTTCAAATCTGGAATGCAACAATTGGAAGTGTCTCTTGGTAAGAACTCGCAGAGTAGACTTTGTGTTTGCTATCTTGTTCTGTCAGATACTCCTGCGACAACACATTTAATGGTGGCTAACTTTGGAAGATTGTAATCCAAAAAAGTGCACCTACCATAAAGGTTTTCGCAAGTCAATCTTGGGAAATATTAGGGATGAAAAATATACAAAAAACAAGGTATTGCAGTAAATCCCAAGGGGGAAACGGCCTATGAAAGAATTTTTGATGGGAATCTCTCAGTAGATTCCAGGGATGATGCGGCTGCGGACGATGGAGGTATAACGCTTCCAGTCAGCGCCATACTTCTTCTTGCACTTCTCCTCATCACGCATCTCGCGGTGGATCAACAAGACACCAAAGTAAAGCACGTAGAAGTACGTGAAGATCATACCCCAACCACGGACTTCCGGGGTCTGCACGGCTTGCTTCTGGACAGCGCCACTGGCTGGGTTAATGCTTTCGATGAGAACATATCCCGCAACACCAGTCGGCAGGCAGTAAGCCCACGACATAGTCCAATCACCCAAGTAATTGATGTGACGCGCCAGACCCCACCAGCCGGAGATCATCAGTTTGGATCCAGCGGCAGTTTCGATGTACTTGATTTCCTTCACGCGGGGGTCATTGGGATTCGTGCGGAAACGATTCTTCTGGTTATTGGCGCCGCGGAAGATCGAATATCCAATCACTTTGATACCCAGAACAATGGCCATACCGCTCAAGCCAAGCTCGTAAGGGAAGACAGAGAGATACCGGGTCTGAATGCTGTACAAATGAGGCACCCAAACCACATCGCCGAAAGACAACATGAATCCGAATCCATCCATGATTATATCTATGGTGGTCATGACTGCTGGCTCCATGTACATCGCATCCAGAATGTAAAACCCATGGAAAATAGTGACCAGCACAATCGAGTCAGTGATGTAACCATAGGTTCGGTACTGATGGGCCACATTGGACAAGTTCAGAATTGTCCACCCAAGCAAGCCTGGTCTCAACTCCATGAACACCTTGATATCAATGGTGCGCGATGCCTCGCTGACGAATGGAATGGGCAATCGAACACGAGGGTTGAGTTCACGGCCGATGAAGAAGTCGTAGAACATGTTGCCCGTATGGCCGCCAGGTGCCAGCTGCCGTAGGCTTGGGTTTGCCTGCCCTGGGGCTGGAACTGTGAAGCTATTCAAGTAAACAAACAGCGCGATAGAAGAAGCGATCAACAAGTTGGCTGTGAAGACCTGGACGTAGTTGTCCCATAGGAATGTCCACACCACAAAGTCGGCTCCATAGAGATAAGTGCCCCCGGCGAGGCCCGAGAGGATAACGATGGCAGAGGAGAAGGCTATACAAGGAAGCGAGTCAGAAACAAGTCCCCCTGTTTAAATGCGATATGCGAGGGTCTGCCATTGCCATACCATTGAATTTGTACTTCAGCTGTCCTCCGCAGGCCAACACAACACCGTCTGCCTCCTGACCGGGAAGGAAGACCTGCAAGAACAGGCTGAAGGCATAGTAGCTCAGTGTCCACAGAGTAACTTTGGTATCATAAAGAGCCGTGACTCCCTCCTCTGGCCAACCTACTTCGCGCTTCAATTGTTCGAGCGACAAGGTCGAGGGATTCAGCAGCGACGGCGCAGGACAGCCAGAGATATCGTTGCAGACGAAGGTAAAGAAGTAGATCAGGATTGGCAATCCAAATACAATACCGAAGGCACCTATTCTATTGCAAATGTCAGCTCAGCTTAGCTCAATTGAAGGAAGCAAGACATACGGTCCACCAAACTCATAACCGCGTTTCTCTGGCACTGGCTGCACGGGTATTTTTTTGGAGACCTTTTTAATAGGCATATTGAAGTAATGACCAATGAACAGATAGAGAAATAATCTAGGAACTACCCAGAGTGTTGTGGGGAAGATCCTTAAATAAGTGCCTGGAGCCTTAAAAAGTCGCGTACGACTCCGGATGGTGAGAGTTCCGCCAGATTTACTCCGCATCTCCATTCACCGGCTCCAATCACAGCGGTGGTAATGCTACGTAAGCCTCTCTCTCTCTCTCACATACAACATACACTTTACCTCCTTCACACCATACTTTGTCATTTCTATCATTTTACTGGTATCTTTGTCCCTGGTCTCTCCACATTCATTATCCCTTTCTTTTCTTTTCTTTTCTTTTCTTTCTACCTCCAGACGGCCTTGGGTCGACCCCAACATAGCCCACCATGAAGCTCACCAACTCCGCTCATTACTCTATTTTCCTTCTATCCTCTATTCTTGGATTGTCTAGCGCATCATATTCTTCCCATTTGGAAGATGACGCTCCATGTGTCGCCCGCTCCCCGACCACCGGGTTGTACTTTGACCTCAATGCGATCTCGTTATCCCCACCCGAGATGAAGGACGGTAAACTCTCGAAAGATGCACGGATTACCAGCTGGTATGCCAGGGGTCATGACTACCCGGCTAATTTCACAATCAACATCTGCGCGCCGGTCATTGAGAACGTGACGGACGTGGTTGGGATAGAGGCATCACGGTGGAAGAACGTCAGTGCATATTACGAGCGGAATGATAAAAGATACTCCATAGGGTATGCCAGATCTCCATCCCAACCGGTCGCACGAGTTGGCTTCATTCCTTGCTTATTTTGCTAACGATTTTTGGTCATATACAGGCAACAAGCATCTGAACCTTTCTTCCGTGGCCGTAAACTCGTCCTCAATTATACCAATGGCTCGCCTTGTCCGGACTATAACATGGCCAGTTCTAATGTCTCCACGCGCACTAAGTCGACTGTCATGTCTTTCCTTTGTGACCGCGACGCTGCGCCAAACGTGGCCACAACTTCCTTCGTCGGCTCCATGGATGAATGCTCGTACTTCTTCGAGGTCCGTAGCTCGGCGGCATGTGGTGGAATCGCCGTGGATCCCAACGCTGGCGGTTTGGGACCGGGCGGCGTATTCGGTATTATGTGAGCACCCATTTTTGCCTGTTGGGAAGACACCCAATGTAATCCATGCTAACCCGGCCCTCTAGTATGGTGATTGCCATCGCCGTTTATCTGATTGGTGGCTGCGCCTACCAGCGAACGGTCATGCATCAACGTGGCTGGCGCCAGTGTCCGAACTTCAGTCTGTGGGCTGGCGTTTTCGACTTTGTCAAAGTAAGTATCCTATTATTGATCCCATGTTGGCCTCGTCGCAAATTCAGATATGGCAAGTTCGTGTCGCATAAGTTTCGGGATTCAAATGGGGCAGGACTACCTGTTTCAAGGATAGATTGAACTCGCTCTAGCTGGTCTAGAGACCAATCGCTTCGGGAAAGACGGTTGCAGTTTGCCTGTTCCATTCATCTCCTTGATTCTTGTCAGACATAGATCATTCTTTTTTTTTTTTTTTTTTTTTTTGGTGCATGTTATATCTTTTGATTTGACTCTTTGGACCTTCGGGCGGCTGTGATAATCACGGCGTGTGCGTTTCCATATGTTTGACAGGATGTCTTGGTTTATGCAAGTGGACTGTCCCTTGGGTACTTGTCAAAGGACGTGTCATTTCATCTTTGGGATCCCTGGGTATAAGATGGCTCCACCATAGTCACTGCTCCTCTCTTGCTTCATTGGACGGACAATGTGTTCTATTGCATGTACATAGATGATCGATTGCAGTTGCGAGCCTCATTGTCTGGAACATGACGCTGACCACTTCTTTCTTTCTGCACCAACAGGACATGTTCGTGGTTATCTTTTCCTCGCTGGGAAACCTCTTCCGTTGCAAGGGATCCCCCGCGGGCAATGGCTATACCCGTGCGGACTCGAATGGCCGTGGTGGATTCATCGGCGCCATCGGAGGACGGGGAGGACGCGGTCAGAGCCGGGACATGGATGCCGAGAACAGGCTCATAGATCAACTGGATGAAGAATGGGATGATTAATAGATGGATGCTTTTGCTTTCTTTTCTCTGGTTTCCCTTGTCTTATAGCGACTTGTGTTTCTCATACCCTTTCTCTACACTTCTTTTTGTCCGGTAGCAACTATTGCCACTTTGATTTACCTATCTGTCCAGAGAATAAATTCCGATACCTTTCTCCTTGTCTAGTTGTTTGTAGTGCAAATATTTTCCATGTTATCCACGAACATGTTCTGCAGCCGTTAACCTACCTCGCTTGGAGAGAGATATATATATCCACATTTGACATCGCATACTATCATAATTCATTCATATGGACATACAGGGGGCTCATATGCAAACAGGGTTGGGATTAAATTATAAACTAAGTTCTCACTTTATACCCACCAACTTCAATTGCACATACCTACCCTGTACTTGCTCCCTCTTGCAGGTGGGTCATACTCATAAACCGCTAAGCGAACACGGTACCCACAACGTACCCCTAACCATACAACTAGCATCATTGGTCTAGTGGTAGAATTCGTCGTTGCCATCGACGAGGCCCGTGTTCGATTCACGGATGATGCACAACAATTTCTTTTTTTGCAACTTCTTTTGCAGAATTTCTTTTGGCGTAGGGAGAATCGGGTTTTTTTATTTTATATATTTTTTGTTAGGTTATCGGAAACTTTCACAAGGTTGTGATGTCTACCCGAGAAATCAAGTTATTAGATATAGATATTCTCCAGAAAATCTGCTCAAAAAGAAAGGGATATACACGCAGCAGACGATATAATAATATTTACACAAATCAACACAAATGGGGTGATAATACGCTGGCGCAAAAAGCAACAGACCCCAGCTCCATATGTCCGACACCAAGCTTTTGTAATCATTGCAAAGAAAACTCAAACACCACGTAGCACATGGCAGTCATTGGGAAAGCATAAGCTGATGAAAATTACCCAATCACGGCCGTGAGACTTTCATATCCGAACCAGATAAACCAAGGTCATATGCACCTAAAGGCATGCCCCCAGGGCCGCCGAAGCCAGACATATCCACAGAAGGGATCCCGGACGGCGTGCCACCGCGATTGCTCCCCCCAGGCATGGGAGCCGGGGGCGGAGCTGGTGGTGGTGGGTTTCCACCGCCAACAGGATCAAGATTGAAGGGGAGGAACCACGCGCTGGGCTGGTAGAACTCGCCCATTCCAGCAGGGGCACCCGGATCTAGATGGCCTGTGAACAGTGTTTGATCTGGACTCTGTGTTTCAACGCCATTGAGTGGTGGGACTGGAGGATTGTTTGGGACGAATGAGGCGGGGTCGAAGTCGGAAAATGAACCGTAGACGAATTGCCGGTCTAGTTGCGGTAATTGGTCTGGCGGGATGCTGAAGTCAAATGGTGGCTGGCCGAATGACATTAGCCGGGACTGTTGGAGCATGGATGGCTGTGGGAATGCACTGCCTGGAACACTCGGGGTGTTCCCCATGGTCACTTCCATCATTGACTGCGGTGAAGTCCGGTCCATGCCTGGAGCTCCATCTGATAGTTTGCTGTTATTGCGAGATCGTGATTTACGGGGTTGACTTGGCTGTGGAGTAGGGGAAAGGCCGGCAAAGAAATCCTCTACGCTCTGGAGGTCGGGTTTTTGGCCCATGACTGCATCTTCGCCCGTTTCTTTGTTTCGAGTATCGGGGTCCTCCCAATGCAGTCTTGACACTCCATGCGGATACTTGTCGAACCAGTCACCATATTGGAACATGGGTGTTAGCGATGCGCCATTCTGAATTGCCACAGAGCCCTTGATAGCTGCATCAGCGAACTGCCGATACCGATCCTTGGCACTTTCAACCATATAGTGGAACATGCCCCAGTACTTTTTCATTTTATTGAGATAGCGGTACGTAAGTCGGAGGTTCTCTTTCGACCGTGCCTCCAGCTGGACGTTCTTTGAGAAGATTCCCCAGATGTGGACTGTGCTCGCCGAGTAAGCACAGTACCCAGCAAAAGGAACAGTGAGGGGATAGGCTGAAGCTCGATCAAAAAGCACTGAAATGTGATGCGCTGCTTCCACCGCGGCCCGACCTGCATTACTGAGAAAGGACTTGGGCATATCTCTTGGTGGACGCCCCCCCGGAGACAAGGGAATGGCGAACTGGTTGAGAAACAGCATGTTTTGATGTATGATTATGTGGAGGAAAATGAACTGATTTGCAATCTTCTCCGCTGCGTGGATTTGAAGATTCTCGTAGGTGAAGGTAAAAGATCCTGGAAGAGATACAGAGAACTCCTCAATTTGCCGCTTAAGCTGCGTGTACCCCGATTCTGGATGCCAAAGTGGATGTGCGTCCTTTCCCTTCCCACCCAGATTCAGGTAGTCGACAATGCGCCCCCAAATGACGATAGCGCGAATAATGTATGCGGAAACACCCATGTTTTCTTTAGCATTAGATAATTGGCCTACATCCTCAGGCACGGGATTAATGATATCGCCATCAAGATCTTCCGTTGGGCCAGGTATCTCCATCTGGAAGTGAGGTTCCTTGATGGGAAGCTGTATTTGTAGGAACTTTTCATTCCCAATAGGTGGCCGTTGACTTCCGGAAGAGTTATACCGATCCATCAAGTAACATGCCCACATGGTCCGGCGCCGGATTTCTTGATCAGTGAAGCTCAGTTGTGAACCGCTGCCGTTCTTCTGTCTGAGTAATGGATCTTGATCAAGCTCCTGGTGGAGCTGTAACGCGTATGCCATCCGCAATGCTTGACCTCCAAAAGACCAACTTCGCCCACCATGGCAGGTTCCAAACTCATGAAGGCCAAGAAGTAAGAAAACAGTAAGAATGGTAATGTTCGGCTCGTCGTGTCGGCTCAGAGCGATGGCTGCAGCGGGATTAGCCCAGTTTTCTCCTCGTAAAAATGGCGGATCCGAGTTGAGCTGAGGGTGGGTGGAGAATCGTGCAGATACGGCACAGACAGCAAGAATCAGGACAGGGGGAATTGTGCCTGCTTTAAGCCGTCGGATAAAACTGGGTTTGTGTAATAGGAGATATGACTGCCCATAGACACAATCAAAGAACACCTCCGCAAGATGCTCCTGAATCTCCAATGAGGGCAAAAACTCGGCTCCTTCGGTGAGAAGCCCAGTCCCGTCGGTGGATTTTATTTCGCGGTTCATTGGGAACGTCTCGTGTGGTGGGCGGCCGTTCCCACGAGTCCATTCATCCATTTCTGCCGCAAACGCCTCCTCAGCGCTTCGTTTCTTTTGTGCTTTTGACGGCTGAACCGAGGCGGAAGGTTTGACAACCGATCTTCCAATAGAGAGCATATCCCTCGTCTCCTCCTTGGGTATTGTCTTGATTACGCGATCTTCCATCCTCTTCAGTCGCTTGTCCAACATAGCCATATAATCCGTGCGCGGTGCCGCCTTCCGTGTAGTAACTTTATACACGCACGGAATCCTCGAGCGCGTGCAATGTTTGCAGGCGGGCTTCTCGCCCGAGCAGCGGATTTTCTTGCGGCGGCATGCGATGCATGCCAGCGGCAGGCGCTTCCGCTCCTTCCCAGCCTTGGTCTTCATTTCGCTCCAAGCCGGTTTACCGTCGTCGTTTAGATGTTCAAAATTGGACGGGCCGTTGCCGGAGTCGTCTCGTTGGTCTAGCGTGCCGTTGTCCGGGCCTACCGCGGGGTCGACTGTTTGTGTGCTACCAGGGTCACGGGAACTTGCATGGCTTTGAGTATCAAAGTCTTCAAGAGCTGCTGCTGCCTCCTCCTGGCCTAGACCAAAGCTAACACCAGGGGTTTTCGAGGGCGATTCGTCGGAATTGGGTTGGATCATGACGGGTGCGGATACCCCAGGAGCCAGGCCCGAAGCATCCTTCGGCACGGTCGGGAACAAAAGTTGGTGCTTCCGAGATGGAGGGCGAGGTCGATTCCGAGATATGTACTTTTTGGGTGGGATTTGGAGGCCGAGAAAGCGGGAGGAAACCGGGATTGAGGAGAAGTTCAAGACTCCAAATATGGGGAAAGGTTCAGCGGCAAATGGTGGCTTGGCAAATAATTCGGCCACTGGCAGCACCGATATTACGGAAACTCGACCACAAGCTCTATTGGAGTATGAAGGACCGAAATATGCTGTAGGTAAGAAAAAAACCTTGAAGCAGAAAAAAAAAACATCTACGTAATTGACTTGAGGTTACATGGTTGGATTTGGAAGCTTTGCCCTAACGCTATTACCCCCAACCCCTATACTATTCCCGTATAGTTCTAGGATTAGGGATATATTTGTAATCCAACTTCCCTCGAGCCATGAATATCACAAGTGGCTCCAGATCCATACTACCTTCACAGATATACTTGTAGCATGTTCGGCTCTCCCGGAACGGACCCGAATACCTAGGATAGTAGCACAGCCGGATTGGCATCTGGGCTGGCACACCGGAAGCTTGACAAAAGACTAGGACGAGCATACAGATACATGTCAGGGGGATCCTTACTGAGTGTCAAACATAATAAGATATTCATTGATCGTCTCGAGTTCACTACAGAAGCAGGACATTACTCTCTGTCTCATACTAGCCATATTTAAATGCAACCTCCCGATAGATCGGCCGAAGTGACCCGTGTTTTTTTCTCAGTTTAACTCGCTATCGTCATTGCACATGTCGAATTTCTGTACGCAAGCTATTCGCTGGTTTGCGCGACTGATCCTACGTGGACTTCGGGCGTCCGACCTTCTGTCGCGGTGTTGCGAGCTCAAGCGAGTTCAAAATCTCGCCTCCAAGAATATAGATATTGTAGCTGGGAAACACGAGCCACATCCCACTATGTAGAATTAGTTTTATGTTTCGTGTAAACATGCACTAGATGGGCTCACTTGGGGAGGATCCAGCAGAAGAAGAGAGTGAGCGGTTCGTTGTGACCAATGTTCTCGAAGCCGGAGAAGACCTCATTGAGCCCTATGTCTTGTGTTATAATCCAACATACAAATCCCAGGCAATGGAAGATGTAGCTTACAGTAAAGGATAGTCTTGCTCA